TTGGAAACACTGAACTCCTGCAGTGGGGCAAAATCTTACAGCATCATGGCGCCTGACCTAAAAGCTGGGGGAAGTGGTGGTTTATGGGCAGTTAACTTTTACTACTCTTTTGCGAATCTTCTTTTTTCCCCTTTTGCTAACTTTACCAACTCCCACCAAATCATGGGCTGTGAAAAGGCAGGAGGCAAGAAAGTTCCTTTCATGGACTGTTTTCCCATTGATGTAAATGTTGCAGAAAGTATTCCTTTCCTTGCCTCACGCCCAGTGTTTTTCTTTTTGTGAACGAATCAAAAGATTTACGTTGATCTGTCTTGCACTCTACACTGGAGCACCATTAGTGGCCTTAACATTAGAACTTGTAAACATTATGTGAATGGACTCTGTAACCTGATGCTGTGCTGGCTTGTAAAGAGCTTATAAAGAGATGCTAGGCCCCCAAGTGTGTTTATTTCTAAGGAAAGTAACACCTTACCTAAATAAATGTTACTTTCTGTGAGTAAGCTGCCCTATTGCTGCATGCTGCTGCCTGTTGTCTCCTATGAAAATAACTGCAAATGCTTCAGTCCCAAGCTCTTGCCTGTACCTGTGTGTGCTGAATATTGTCAGTTTAGGTTCTTCGTATCCGCTTGAACAGTCCTGGAACTGAAAACAAGTGGAATGGAACTGTTGGGTTGGATGCTTGCTTACTTGGTTGAAGGAATGCAAAATTTCCCATACCATCTACAGTTCTGAGGAAGAAAACAAAGTTTCTAAACTTTTTCTTCTCTTACAGATACTGCCGGTGTTCCTCAAGGGGTATGTGTGTATTTGTAAAGACAAATTAATACTTCTACATTATATTAAGCAGTTTTAGCCTTTACAGAAAGTGGTGGGTTTTTGTGGCCAATCTAATGAGGATGCAGCAGTTGAAAGTCGGGTGGGGAGGAAGGAAGGGAGACAACTTAGAACTGCTTACTGGCATGCCCATGGCTGTGACCTCGGTCTGCAGAGCTCACCGCTTGGAGAGAAAGAGTTTGGTCTCTGATCCCTTCAGTCTTTGGCTTCTGTGGTGAAGCTGTCTTGGCTTTGTAAAATTTTCTGCAGAAGTTGAATTCAGATGAATTAATTTCATGGGGTATCTATTGTATTATAATTAATATTATTATTATTATTCCAATCACTTCCAACCCGCTGGGCAACCCAATAATATAATGTATTTCTCATTCTCAGTCAAGTCGTTCAGTAGTCTGCATTTGACTCTTTTACACATTGGTAAAACTGTTATAGAAAGTAATGCTTTTCTGTCTTTCGTCTTCGATCTATCCTAGATTTTCTGTTTATCTAGAAATTTAGAAGGGGAAGAGAAGTTGTGTTTCTTAAATATGTGTTTGCAATTCCTGGTAAGCCACATACCCAGAACAAGATCTCATAGGTTAATGTACATTTCATCTGTGTTGTTTTGGCAGTTGTACAAAGTACCTTTTTGATCTCTATTTGCAATTTAGATTGCCCGTGACCTGAACAGTATTTACGTGTATACAAAGTTATCATTCTTTACACATCTACAAGTCTCTACAAGTCTGTTGTCCACGTAGTGTGTTTCCTTAGAAAATTCTGAAACTTCATCAAGCAGACTACTAGAGTACTAGAAGTTAATTTCGGTTCAAGTTGAAAGGAATGGTAGCCTGACTGTATCGTGGTTGTAGACTGCGCAGAATCAAAGCTATGTGGAAGACAAGATCTGTAATTATGGATCACTTATTTCAAGATCCTGAAGGCTTTCAGGTAGCTCTAATTAGTATCTTACCATTGCAGTACCTTACAAACATTACCCAGTGTGTCAAATTACTCTTGAGTGTATAACCGTTAGTCTTCTGAATTCACAGATATGGGAAAGAGAAATGGGCAGCTCAGAAAAACTATCTAAGAATACTAAGAAAGTTGGCATAGGAGTCAGGAGCAGGGTTTTTTTTGTTATTGTTGTTTCTCTCTCCTGTATCCCAAATGTGTTCATGGGATTTTTACCCCCCCTAGGTATTTGTTACATTCCAACATAAGCTTTTCAACCACACCAAGTAGAGCAGAAAATACATTTCAAATGGAATCGACATACATCTTCCCAAAAGAAAACTTTCCCAAAATGTTTAGTAACTTAGCATGCTGAGCAGTAGACACTAGCAAGCCATGTTAATCAGTTCTGCTTTATAAAAGCAAACAAGGTGGGGAGGAAGTAATGAGACCCTGAAACATCTGTTTGGAGACTTTGAATCCCCTTAGAAGGTTTTGAGTTCTGCCTTAAAGAAACACAGCTCCAAAAAATTACAAGCAACTGTGGGAACATTTTCTAGCTCTTTACAAAAAATTAATTATATAAATATTAGTCTATAAAAAGCAAATTCCCTCTGCCCTCTTCTCCAGTTTTGCTTTTAGTAAAGAGGTGTACTTTTGCCTGACATTTGCAAGCATTCTTTCTGCAGAGAGAAGCTAGATCAGATCCATCCTAGTTTTGCTGAGGGAGGAAGACCAGCTTTGATTGTTAGGAAGCTAGATAATCATAGATAGTATTAATAAACAGTCTTAGAGTTAGAACAATATGCTGTCATTTAATAACAATGAAATACACAGTCCTGTGTGTATTTCACACAATTAATAGCTACTTAATTGCTTTATAAAGTTACATGTTAAAAGGCTACCTAAAATAATTTCTCCTTCTACCTAGTGTTGTTTTTAGCAGTGGTTCTATGCTGTTGTCTGATGTGAAAATGAAATTTGGAATCCATGTTCTTACTCTTGTTTATTTAGGATACCTGAATAGAGAGGTTAACCGTTCTGATCAATTTTAATTCTTAATCCGCTTCTGGGTTTCTTTTTAAATCGGTTGCTGCTGAGTTCTGGGTAATACATTTTTCTTAAGAAATGGAGCATGGGGAAGGGTATACTTATGTCTTTGCTTAGCATGTGGTGTTTGCTTTATTTAGTGTCTTTTTGGTATTTTAGGAAGGCAGACATTATTTATTCTTACCTGTTTATATAATTGTTCTGCTTTTACAGTTGGACATAATACTAATTTTGCTCTGTGTTCTTGGTAATCAGCACAGCTGTTCAGTCCTACCAAGGAGAGAAATAAGGAGGGGGAAGTGATTCCTTTCTAGAGTGAAATGGCTTTGCACTCACTCTGGATGACAAGCACCAGAAAAGTGTAATTTTCGGGCATACTCATCAGTCTCCTTAATAAAATTTTGATATACTCTGAAGTAGTAAGGCTTATGGTTGTTAATGTTTTCTCATAATAAAAGTAGTGCTCCATAGAGCACTTACGTCTTCCCTAGTATGCTTTTTTAATTGTAACATGGATTTGTTCATCTTAAATATTTACAGAACTATTCTGAAGAACCTTTTTCAGACTACCAAGGAGTAGTTTTGGGCCAGTGTTTTAGCAACAGGTCTTTAATTCTGAATCCCATAGTTTACACTCAGAGTAAAGTACAAGGTAGCATATGAATGAATATGTGCAGGTTTGCTTGTGAATTTGCATTTTCCCTACTTGTAATCTTTCCTGTACACTGTTGCATAGCCTAGGAATGTTCCAGCACATGGTGTACATGTAGAAATCACTCTTCTATTAAAAAGTAATGAGCTGCAGAGTGAGACACACTGGCAATTTGTTAACAACAGCTAAACGAGAATTATTTCTGATTCAGCTTAAAGTCTGTACCTCCAAAAGCTTGGTATTCCTTCGGTAACTTAATATGCTAAATAATATTATTTAATATTCTCATAGCATGTGATTAAAACTGGCCTGTCTTTAGAGCCTTTTTGCTGTTTAAGGAATCCATAGCAAAAGAGCGCTTGCCCAAATTCGTATGTTGTCTTCAGTTGTTGTATTCTGGCTCTGAAAGCTTCTTAAGCTTCCAATTAACTAAAATTGTCTTTTGTTTTAATTGTTCTACTACCTAGATGCAAACGCATACTCTTATAGTTGATACTGAACCATATGGAGATTGCAAAATAAATTACCTCTGGATGCTTCAAGGTGCTGGAGTTTCCTGAGGAAAAATTAGGTTGAAAAAATTAATGTATCTTGGGCCAAAACTCTTGAACTACATCTACTGGCAAAACATATTTCCTTCTGGGCTGGATGGGGTCCTACAGGATCATTTGATGGTTCTAGGCGTTTTAGAAGTATGTTTATGTCTCTAACAGAGAATCAGAGAAGTCAGCATTTTCATTTCCAAAACCCTGTTTTTCTTCCAGCATTCCTGTCCTACACAGAAACTGAGACAAGAATAAAACTTGCCATACAGGACCTTAGCTTGAAAATGACTCATCTGTGAAATTCAGTGCATCTAAGAAAATCACATACTTCATTTCAGCAGTTTTATACTGCCAGTGTTGTAAATTAGCCTAGATTAATGATAGTAACAAATTGGCATGTCCATGTACTTTTATGTAAAAATCTTAATATTTAGTTGTATAAATAATACTTGGTTTTTGGAAGAGTTGGGAAGGTGTCAGTTTGGTAGGGTTCACGAGTACGGAAATTCTCTAGCTGATCAGCTGCCTCTAATACTGATGTTAAGAAGTGACTTCTAAATTCCACCTTTTAAGCTGCATGCTTTTATTGGGCTATTTAGCTGCACTGCAGATTCCTCTGCCTTGGAAAAAACGAGTATAACAGCATTTCTTCTGATCTATAGTCAAACTGCTTTTGACACTTTTCAAGAGGAAAACATGATAAAAGTGTGAAAGTAACTGATTCCTTGAAGTATTCTCATTCTATTTAATCACTTGCAAAGTAATGCTGCTGCTTCTTTTTATTGGCTGTAAGTCCTGTTTTTTTTGGGGATGGGGTTGAGTTTGAAGCCTTCAGGCTCTATGAAAATATACCTAGGTACAATAAACACGCCTCCTAATTTAATTTCCACCTGACATGTAGACTTCATGGAACAGATAGTGCATGGCAAGCCAAAATTGATTATTAAGCACTGGATCTGTGAAAGTGAACTTTATTCTCTTTACAGGCAAGGTGGTTCTGGGAAGCATATTTTCGATCGATGAAAGCAATTGCTCTTGCTACTCTTCAGATTATCAATGATAGAATTTACCCATATGCTGCCATTTCTTATGAAGAATGGAATGATCCTCCAGCTGTGGTAAGTGAATTAATTTGATTTACTTGTAAAACAAATTGTGGGTTTGATTCCCCCCCATATAAAAGGTATGTGCTATGTGAGTTGGTAATAATTCTGTGTATGTGTGTGTGTGTATGTGTGTTTGTGTGTGTATGTGTTGTGTTGGTAACTTGCACAGATGAAGCTAATATATTTTATGACAGCTGGCAAAATAACTAGCAGTTCATTTTGTGTCCTGGCAGTGAAATGTGAACTTTCAACTTTTGCTATTGCACACACTAAATTTCTTGCTTGTTTATATATTTATTTTTCATGCATGCATACACACATACTTCTTTATTTTTGTTGAATCTAGTGTGAGTTTAGCGCTCTTAAAAATGAATAACTGCGGTGGCAATAGTAGAAATACTGAAGATCTTAGACAATCTGCAAGGCTTTTTCATGTAATTCTGATAAAATAGCTAATTATTCCTTTGCCTACAATTTTATCCACGTTATTTCTACGTAATTTCCGTTATACAGAAACTGATGATCAAAGTTTTGCTGGGGAATTTTTTTTCCCTTAAAAATAAAATGTTTTACTAGTTGAACCCACCTCTGTTAAGAAGAAATAGTAGAGTATTAATTAACCTTCTGCACCAAGCAGCTGGTTCTGATTTTTTACTATATAAAAGGCTGCAGATGATTTTCACTCATAATCAGTTAATTTTCTCTGTGTCAAAATATAAAAAAGTTTTGTTTTAGTAGTAAAACCAGAATTGTTAACTGTCTCACTTTATAGTGGTTTAGAGAGAGTTCCTCTGAAAGCTGGGTAGGAGAGCTTAGGAGTAGAGTGTGTTTTACTTCAAACTCTTCAGGCCGATGGAGTGTGAACAGCTGCTGAGAAAGAGTCAGAAGCTCATTGCTGGATTTCAGAAGATGATTTTCCATTGCCTAGCCAAAAGCATGAATAATCTACTGTTGTCATTGCCTAGAGACAAAATGTTGCGCTTGTCAGTATTTAAGGAGGAAATTAAGCTGCACAAGAAGTATGTAATCTGCAAGAAGGGGATCACTTTTACATTATACTAGCAAAACAAGCACCCTGAAACAGCTAGCAAAATGAAGAAAATGGCTTGAGGTTTACTCAGTCTTTAAAGGGGGTGCAAAAACATCTTCTCCTGGGTTCTCTCCTATACTGGAAACCTGTCCACTTCTGTGGAAGTTAATCTTACTTTGAGCAGCAAGCAGGGTCTTTTTTTTCTTTTTCTTTTTTTTTTTTTTTTAATATATACTTGGAAAAAATATTTATGTTAGTCATTCAACCTGGAGGTTCTTAAGCAGAAGGTTTATAACCACAGACACAGCGACATACAGAAACAGAACTCTGAAACTGTGGAGGAACAAGTAACAGCGTTACTGTGATAGGGCAGTACAAGGAGTAGGCAGGAATATTGTATCAATGTGCAATTGCAAAGAAATGCTGGAAGGCAGACTGCAGTTAGAGAGGGCTGGAATTGGTCCAGGGCGTTGGAGTTAACACCTTGTATCATGACTCTCTCATGCCACGAATGGTCAGTTCCTTGGTGGATTTATGTCTCAGTTGAAAGAATTTGATGTTTATCCTAGTCTATGAAAATTGCTTAATATGTGCATGAATTCATTTCTTGCTTCAGTATGAAACAGAAATGTCCTAAGTTCCTTTATGGGCTGTGTAAGCTCCGTATTAGCCAGCAACACAGAGTGCTTGTGACCCTTTCTCAGAGGGTCAGTTAAAGAAAATAGAATTCAGATTGGGAATTGTTCAAGAGCAGTTAAATTTGTAGAACAGCAGTGCACAACCCTGTGATATCTTTAACTGGGGATTTTGATAACTACTCTAAGCATGTATGAAAATTTCCTTTCATGAGGCTCTTTTCTTTCTTCTTTTTAAAGCCAGCTAACACTGTTTTTGACCCTTGTTCTTTCATTCAACGCAAATAACTGGACCCTTTTCCAATTTATCTTGGATATTTTTTTTTCTGTGAATATATTTTATCTCTTTGAGGTGAGAGCATATTCCAGCTGTGGTCTATAGGGGAGCATATTTTTCAGGACTCAGCTAATTTCTAACTTCAGACAATTTAGAAGATAACATATATACAGTACCCGCTACTAAATTTAATTGGTCAATAAATTTAATAATAGTTACTTTAATCTTGGGGTTTTTTAATAATTGCGCTAGTCTGAATTCCACCGTTGGTGTCTGCTTGTCAGGAGAATAGTGATCCACTTGAGCCTGAGTATGTTTCTCATCTAAGCTCCTGCCTGATGTCCACTCAACAGCACTGTTACAATTTCTAGTAAGCCTGGATGAAACGTTATAGTTGGAAAACTGGTACCTATGTACATTTGAGGTACCAGATGATGGCAACTGTATCCTCTAACTCTAAGACGACAAAATAACTGGACATGACTCGAACATGTTCCTCATTTACAAGAAAATTGCCATATTCTTCTCTAAATAAACTCCAAGACTGAAGCATTTAAAGCACATTATTTCAGGTTGGCCCCAAGGCCAGGATGTAGGTAAGTGTTAAGATGAAGCACCTGCGAGTTAATGTTAATACCACAGTGAAATGTGTGAGTAACTGGCGGTCGCAAATTCTTATGTTACTGACTAGAGCTGTACCTCCAGAACTTGCCTTGTGTAATCTGCCTTCAAACTTGACTGGCTCAGCATCCAGTTCCTGTAGCTCTGCTTGTTGTTCCCTGGGATGTTGTAGTCGGTAATGATTAAATGCAGTGCTCTTCTGTGCACTCTTGTTCCTGTTAGGCAGCTGAGATAGAAACGTGGAGTTGCAGAAGGAGTATGTACAAGCTGTAGGCGGATTAACAGAAGGTGCAAAGGTGCAATCACCAGTGTAAGGCAAGGGACTTACTGCAATTGCCATTTATGTCTTTAATCAGTACAAGGCTGTTAATAGAGCTTAGATCCCCGTGCTCTGAGTAATAAGGTTTTGAAAATGAGAGCCTGGATTTCTCTGTGGAATATTTATACAGAAAAGGCCAGCTCTAATGAGTTTATGAGCTTACTTGCTGGGACAAACACACTTTTCTAGCAGAAAGAAGAGCTTACTGTCTGTGCAAGATCATCATGAAGAGGAGAATCCTTAGCTGAAGAGAATCCTTGGCTGTCTCCTGGCTTTAAGGCTTCTTTTTCTTTGTGTGCTTATAGGATATGTCACTAGTACGACACTAGGATCCTGAGAAGTAACAGAGAAATGGGGCTCGGTAAAATGTCTTGGTTAATTGCTTTGCTGCTCAATTGTTGCAGCTGCTTCAGATGTAAAATAAAGTAGTAAAAATGTTACTTTGACAGTTAGGTTAGCTTGTAGCTCTCCAAGGTGCACATTTTGCTCTACATTTTGTTGAATTGTGTTGTAGTATGATTATATTATATATATAATATAATAAATATTCAATTATAATTGAACTGCAATTACATTGCAGCCTTGTGATTTGAATCTATTTTGAGTTAACAAACAGATTACAGCCTGTAAGCAAGCTAGATAAAACAGGTTTTTAGGACCCTCAAAGATCTGATTAAATACGTTTGTAACACCACCACTTATGAAGAGAAAGCTGCATCTTTCACAAAAGACTGCCGCAAGTTTGATGTCACTTGCAGTGTAGGACTGGTAGGGACTTATGGCTATTTGCTGAAGATTTTCTCTTTGCTGTATTTTGAACTCTGATACTTCAAATTAGGAATTAGGACATATATGCAGACATAATAATGATTACTTTATTTTCAGCAAATTTACATTTAATGTTTTTATCTTAGGGAATGGCTGTTATCTTGGACAATCAGCATAAAAGTGATATGCTTGCATTTAATAAAATCAGTGAGGCATGCGCATGGCTAGATATGCATAGAGATAAGCTTTATTCCTGTTCCGTAGATATCCCTCAAATCTCAACACAAAGAAACACCTTGTGTTGAGTCTGTACTTTCCCGAACGTTTTAGACCACTATAAGCAGGTATTGTGGCCAAAAGAAGCAGTCCTGCACTATTCTACAGCTGGATGACGATTTCTCTCTCTGTGTGCTACCTTCTTTTTTAATTTTTTAATGCACTTGTGGTGAATTAACTGAAATAATTTTCCTCATGTAAAACTTACCCAGCAAAAGAAAAAAAAAAGAGGAGTGGGGGAGAGTGAGGGAGGGACCGGGTGGCTGGAAGGCTGCGTTTTTGGCGTTAGTTTGGCTTGTGTTGGCTCAAAATACTAGTGAGACTGTTGCCCGAGTATCTTCACCACAGTGTGGATACAGCAGCAGTACAGAATGGTGTTTTTGCAGCAGGAGGGACTATAATGTACGCAGGAGATAAATGCATATGCAATTAATGCCATACTTAGTACATTGCATTGAGGAAGTGATCCAAGCAGTTTTATGTGCTTGTATTGGTTGACTGAAGACTGTTGGCCTTTTTTGAAAAATAAAAGTACGTTTTAAAGGGGATTATTTTCCTACTCATCCCCTATCCTGTTGAGGAAATGGAAGACTAGTAGCATATAACATGCTAATATGTTATGGGATGGTACTTTCAATAAAAAATGCACTACAAGATATTTCCTCCTTTTAATGAAGAGGGGCAAGTGATGATTTTGGGGCCTGAAATTCATTCCTGGACTGCTTGAGTCCTTTATGACTCAGACAGTCTTTTGGTGCAAGCATGGGATTTAACGCCTTTTGTATTTCTTGGCCCAGCCGTTAGCCATTGGGCAGGGGCAATCAGTTACATTTAAGCCAGAAAATGACTGCTTCTGTGGTGTGCTTTCTGATAGTTACCAGTTTGGACTGGATTAGAACTAATGACCTGGGTTTGAGATGTGGTCCGTTATCTTCAGTTAACTACTTTGTTATGCTCTAATAGAGGTAAATTGCTTTCTCACTTGTGCTTCTTTGTAGATTATTTAAATTCTACTCGTACTTTGCCTCATACCTTGGTAACATATATGGGTTTCTGAAGAATGAGTAAGGGTTTTTCCACATTTCT